GAAGAAGAAATTGCAGAAATGGAGGAGAATTCAGGTAGATGAGGGAAAGCAGAGGAATGACATGGATTCTATTACATAGATTCTGGATTAGAAATTTAGAATATCTAGGAATGGACGGACAACCATGATTTTGTCCTCTTTTATAAAAGCAAATTATTTTTCTGTTTTTAGGTTGGGCCTATTGTTTTTATCTTGGTCCAGAAGTGAATCCATTTTAGGCTGAAAAACTACGTCATAATAAATCTAAAACGTTGGCCTAAATAATTTGGGCCTAAAATTAATTTATGGCTCAATGTAACAGATTAAAATGCAATAAAGCCCAAACGATTATTAAACGGGTCTAAAGAGTCCAGTGTTGAGTGTTGTATGCTTCACTTTAATCTTCAATTCTCCATAGAGAAGAAAAATCTCAACAAGCCCCCATAAAAAGGGATTAACGTTGAAAAAAGGCCACCAACCTTTGTGGAATTGCCAAATTAATTACCAATTGGCAATTGTCATCAATTATGCCATTACCTATCATACATTCATTGAAAGAAAAACATTACTACCTCCGATCCATGTTGCTTGTCATATTTTTTCTCAACATAATGGCAGGGAAAGTGACAAAGATTTTTAAAGACTCATATTATTAATTAAAATTTTATATTTACCCAGGGTAGTTAGGTTTTGTTCTTTTTTAATAATGGAGTAATTATAAATAGGGACAAAAATAAAAATAAAAATAAAGACTTTGATGCTATTTTGTGAATTAAAATTGACAAGTAAATTAAATCATCTCCTTTTAAAAAATGTAATATGTAAAATGGATAAAAGGTAGTACCATGTTAATGCAATTTTACCCAACTCAACTCACTCATGAAAATTGAGAAATGGACTTTGAGAATATTTATCCATTTCATTTGATAAATAATTAGTGAATTGTTATTCAACATGTTTTATGAGAATCAAACAGGAAAATAGTTTAAAAGGACTAAACATAAAATAAAATTTCCCAAACATGCTCAAATAATTATTCAAATTGATGCAAGCAAAATGACCTTCATTTTAGTCTTCATATATGTGTCATTAAATTCATATCTTCCACGAAGAAGCTACGTTTGGATTTAATTTTGATAAATTTTCTGATTTTTGAAGAAAATTGGACCAAATTACAGCCTGTAAATAAAATAAGATTAACTTAATTGAACATAATTAAAGAAAAGTTGTTAAACTGAATATTTTAGATTAGATTAAAAGGTCTTTTCACCCTCTACTAAAAATGGGAAACAAAGAAAAGAGAGGTTCTTTCCACCCTTTAACTTTATCCTTTTTATTATTATTTTATTAGTATCACATTATTCTTCTTTCCTCGTATTTTCTTGTTTGAAAGAGAACATATAATATTATCTATTTTCAAAAAGGATTTTTCACCTGTCCCTTACAAC